CATGTCCTCACTGTCCCCAACATTCCATGTCCCCTCTGTCCCAGTGTCCCCAAAACTCCATGTCCTCACTGTCCCCAACATTCCATGTCCCCTCTGTCCCAGTGTCCCCAAAACTCCATGTCCTCACTGTCCCCAACATTCCATGTCCCCCCTGTCCCAGTGTCCCCAACATTCCCTGTCCCCCGTGTCCCCTCTATCCCCAGTGTCCCCGGTGTCCCCAGTGTCCCCAACGTCCCCCATGTCCTCTCTGTCCCAATGTCCCCAACATCCCCAACATTCCATGTCCTCAATGTCCCCCATGTCCCTTCTGTCCCAGTGTCCCCAACAATCCCTGTCCCCAACATTCCATGTCCCTTCTGTCCCACTGTCCCCAAAATTCATCCCCAGTGTCCCCAACATTCCATATTCCCAATGTCCCCGTGTCCCAGCTGTCCCAATGTCCCCAATATTCCATGTCCCCTCTGTCCCAGTGTCCCCAACATTCCATGTCCCCCTGTCCCACTGTCCCCAACATTCCATGTCCCCAGTGTCCCCAACAATCCCTGTCCCCAACATTCCATGTCCCCTCTGTCTCATTGTCCCCAAAACTCCATGTCCCACTGTCCCCAACATTCCATGTCCCCAACATCCCTCATATCCCCTCTGTCCCAGTGCCCCCAACATTCCACGTCCCCCATGTCCCCTCTGTCCCACTGTCCCCAACATTCCATGTCCCCAACATTCCATGTCCCCAACATTCCATGTCCCCTGTGTCCCCTCTGTCCCAGTGTCCCCAACATCCCATATCCCCTCTGTCCCAATGTCCCCAACATTCCATGTCCCCAACATTCCATATGTCCTCTCTATCCCCTCTGTCCCCAACATTCCATGTCCCCTCTGTCCCACTGTCCCCAAAACTCCATGTCCCAGTGTCCCCAACATTCCACGTCCCCAACATTCCACATCCCCTCTGTCCCAGTGTCCCCAACATTCCATGTCCCAGTGTCCCCAACATTCCATGTCCCCTGTGTCCCCTGTCCCCAACATTCCACATCCCCTCTGTCCCATTGTCCCCAAAACTCCATGTCCCAGTGTTCCCAACATTCCACGTCCCCAACATTCCACATCCCCTCTGTCCCAGTGTCCCCAACATTCCATGTCCCCAACATTCCATGTTCCCTATATCCCCACTGTCCCCAAAATTCATCCCCAGTGTCCCCAACATTCCATATCCCCTTGTCCCAGTGTCCCCAACATTCCACATCCCCTCTGTCCCAGTGTCCCCAACATTCCATGTCCCCAACATTCCATGTCCCCAATATCCCCACTGTCCCCAAAATTCATCCCCAGTGTCCCCAACATTCCATGTCCCCCCTGTCCCAATGTCCCCAACATTCCATGTCCCCAACGTCCCCTGTGTCCCCACTGTCCCAGTATCCCCAAAATTCCATGTCCCCTCTGTCCTCAACATTCCATGTCCCCTGTGTCCCCTGTCCCCAACATTCCACATCCCCTCTGTCCCAGTGTCCCCAACATTCCATATCCCCAACATTCCATATCCCCAACATTCCACATCCCCTCTGTCCCAGTGTCCCCAACATTCCATATCCCCAACATTCCATATCCCCAACATTCCACATCCCCTCTGTCCCAGTGTCCCCAACATTCCATGTCCCCAACATTC